CATATGAGATAAGTTGGCCAGTATGTTGATTTGTATTTGATAGATAAGGAGACTGAGGCAAAGAGAAGCTTGACATTTCTGAGTACTTTGACATCATTGACTGATGGCGGAAGTTACAAAATAATCCCACACGAATTCAGAAATACGTACAATAAAGGGTTATTTATTTAGGAGTAGACTCACAGATCACTGTCCTAGATCACAGTCCTCTGCACAAATGGGGAACAGGAACAGAGTCCAGCAGCCGGAAGTGAGAGCTGGAAGCAAGAGAACAAGCACAGGCTTTACAGCTGCATTTACAGTGTAAGAGACCATGCCCAAGCGGGCTGGTATCTTAAAGGTTATTGGCTGAAGGAGCTGAAGGAGCTCACACAGCAATTGACAGAGCAAGTGTCTGAACCTGATATTATGAGCTCACCCGCAGGGTTGTGATGCCAGGTGCTGAGCTCCTATTTAACATTATATAACTTTTTAAAAAACTGTACCAAAGTGAATTTAGCTTTTTGTGGAATATGAATATAAAACAGCTAAATCTGTGTTTCTTATAAGTTTAACTTGCTAATAAAACCAAGTTATAAGGTACAGAGCATTACACCACAAAAATCAGCTATAATTTTATATTTAATAAATTATGCTCTATTCTGTCAGAAATAATTTACACAGTATTTTCACTTTCCTTATTCTCATTTGATCCTCATAGCCTGCAGTGAATGATATCATTTATTAGGTTGTATTTACTGTTAGTCTGATTTTATAGAAGAAGAAATTGAGCCTGCATCATCTGAGGCTCTGATACTTGTCTACAGTCAAATTTTAAGTTTAGATTACTTACAAGATGAAGATATTAAACACTTGAAACTTGAAAATTTTACTCACTTTTGAAATTAGTGTATACTAGTTACACAAAACAATAGAGTTTGTTGTGAGATTGACAACCATTAAGACCTGTCTTAGAGAAAATGTCCTAATGGTAAACTCAGTTGTCATTTTTTCCAAGGGGTCACTAAAGTATTTTTATACTTGTGTTAGATAGTAGTCTTATTTATAAGCCTGAATAAGATTATGTTCCTTATGTTGTTCCTCAAAATACTTGGAATTTTAAAAAGTGAATCTGAGAAGATTATTATGGTTGTACCAGAAAGAACTATGATAGAGTTAATTATGTCTTGGCCGCAAGGTCTTCCATATATGATACAAAATGCAGAAGCCGTAAAAGAACAATTTGAGGCCAGGCACAGCATGCATGCCTTTAATCCCAGTTCTATCACTTGGGAAGCTGAGGCAAGTAGATTTCTGAGTTCCAGGCAAAAAGCCCATCTTTAAAAAAAAAAATAAAAGAAAATTGAGTATATATTGCATAAGAATTTCTACCATACACAGAGTCCATTGAAAGTGTTGCTCTTCATACGGTGTGGCTTATACAGAAGGACTCTAGCAAATCAGGAGGATGTGTTTATGTGAGCAACAAAGGGAACAGAGCTCAGAGGAAGCATAAGCTACTTTTAGCTATGTGGAAAGTCCTTAGTTTTACCATGGAGTGTCATCGTTGCCTCTTAGATTAGCAGAGCTAAAGTTTCAGCACTAGTGTGCTGGACAGATGGCAAGTTCATGCCATGCTAGTGAGACCATGATCCAATGTGGTCTTAGGAAGGTGGGCTGTTATCTGTTAGAAAGCAACGCTTCGTTGCCAGCATTTTGTTTTGTAGATAACAAGCAGCCGTTCAAAGGAGCATATATGCAACACCAGTCTTGTAGCGTTAGCGGTCACTGCAGATTGAAGCCCGGTATGGTACCTGCACTTAGGTCTTTTCAAAACAAAATCTTTCTCCTTTCTTCTTGGTTTTGCTAGCTCCTGGTTTACTGTTTATTTCAGAGTACTATGTGAAAAATAGAAACAGCTAATCTTGTTAGTTGTACTGAATAGATATCTACATTTGCAAATTTATTCAGGAAAGGGATTTAATGGGAAAGAATGTTGAGTAACAGTTGGCAGTTGCATGGCTAGAAAGCTCAACTTGGAAAATGGTAGCCAGTGTTAAAGATGAAAATTTTTATAATATGGATTTTTTGAAACTGTTTGAAATGTCTTTGTAACATAGTATATTATAAATAATTGTTTCTGTTTTTCATTAAGTAATAAATACTCTTCATTAGGTGGGTACATATATATATGTAAATATGACCAATGTAATATTTTGCATTTTTCTGTTTATTTTTTGCTGCTCTTTTGGTTTGCTTAATGCATGATTTTACTTGTGGTATATTAAATTTCTTACCATAATTTTATATTAATTTCTCTTTAAATTTTGCTTGTGTGCTGTGTTGTAGGTTCTTACAAATTCATGACTGTTTCCTTATTAATGAATATTTTGTGTTTTTAGGTAAGAAAGGAAACATACTAGCTTCCTTTCTGTTATGAAATACTGACTAAAATTAAGTTAGAGTAGAAAGGGGTTTCCTTTAAACGCCTATTCAAGCAGAAACTTAGAGTAGAAACCATGGAGGAATGCTGCTTGCTGGCTCAAGTACAGATTTACATTTATTAGCTTCTGTACACAGCCTAGAATACCTGCTCAGAGAATGGTGATGGGCTTATTCCCACAGTGGATTGGGTCCTCCTGCATCAGTTCACAGTTAGGACCGTCTTCCACAGGTGTGCCAGGAAGACTGTTCAGGAGGGCACTGCTGCAGTGCTTTCGTAGTAGGCAAGAGAGATTGGCCTTAATTTGGAAAGAATTGCCTTTTAAATCATTAAATAATTTCTCTTTTTCCTCCTGTTAAAAATTTCTCTTCCATTTTTGCCATGTTCCTGTGGTGTTGTGGTAAGCAAACCGTTGGACTCCCAGTTGCCTGCCTCAGTTGTAGGATGAGTTGGTGCCTACTGTGACGTTTCTGTGAACGTTTCACTGACATGTGTGAAGAGGTTTTCAATACCTGTGTCTGAAGTATTATTTTTAAAAAAGGATGTTTTCTGTGATGAGTGTTTGGCCTGCAGGTATTTTTGTATGTATATAACACGTGTGTCTGGTGCCTCTAGGGACCTGAAGACAGCTTGGATTCCTTGGAACTGGAGTTACAGATGGCTGTGAGCCACTGTGTAGGTTCTGGGAACTGAACCCAGGTCCTCTTAAAGAGCAGCTGATGCTCCTAACAGCTGACCCATCTCCAGCCCCTAAAGTACTTTTTAAAAAGGAGTTTTTCTATCTTTTCTCTTCTTCTCTTCTCTGTTAAGAGCATCAGCTTTTAAATGCACTTCTTGTAAGTGGAATGCACTTTGGGGTACGACTGAAACAGTTATCAGGCCTTGAGGTGGGTGACAGTTGTCTGTCTTCTTTGTGGGTGGAGGTCTTTACGCCACTGTTTCTAAGTAGCTTCTTATTCTTCAGTATACTTTCTTTTGGAAATAGTTGAGACTACTGAAAAGGGACAAAAGGCTTTTGAGGAACTTACTTTTTCTAGAACCAACACTGGGAGGTAGAGTTATCAATAAATTGTAAAACTGTTGCTATAGTTAGAACACTAAACATCTCGAGGCCATAAGCTATTATATTTATAGAAATAAAGTGTGTACCCCTCTATCCTTTCTTTTTCTTTCTTTCTTTCTTTCTTTTTTTTTTTTTTTTTTTTTTTTTTTTGGTTTTTCGAGACAGGGTCTCTCTGTAGCTTTGGAGCCTGTCCTGGAACTAGCTCTTGTAGACCAGGCTGGCCTCGAACTCACAGAGATCCGCCTGCCTCTGCCTCCCAAGTGCTGGGATTAAAGGCGTGCACCACCACCGCCCAACCCCTCTATCCTTTCTAAAATTAGGTTCCTGCTCTGTAGTCCAGGCTATTCTTGAATTTATGGCAGTCCTGCTTTTGGCTCCTGAGTGCAGGGATTCCAGGCGTGTACCTCCCTGGTTGGCTCTCCTTTTTTGATAACATTTAAGACTTAACTTTTATTCCTGTTCCAAGTTTTTCATTTTTATTGTCCATTTGCATAACTACCATGTATTTTATGCATCTTATAGTCCTCCTGTCTTCAATTTAGAAAATATACAGAATGGAGAGAAGATAAAATTTTAGATGGGGAAACAGCATACAAATTAACGTATATGGTTTCTGTTTTGATGCTAATTATTCAAGGATTGAGCAATGTAGTGATTTTGTAGATGATCAGTTAATGGAACACCTTGAAGAGCACGCTGGGAAGTAGTGTCTTTGTTCCTTAGGCTCATGAGAGGCACGGAAGACTTTGGGGGCTAAAGAAAATACGTTACGTACTGAAAAAGACTATTTCTGTGTGTGTGTGTGTGTGTGTGTGTGTGTGTGAGAGAGAGAGAGAGAGAGAGAGAGAGAGAGAGGGAGAGGTGACACAGGGGCTTCAAATATAGCTTTCTTTGTAGTCTTTTGACATGTTTATCAGCGATCGTTTTCCAAACCACTCTGTATAAAACAGACTTTTCCTTCCACCCTACATTGACTTCCTCGCCATAGCATTTACTGTCACTACTCAGAAGTAAACGCTTGTTTACCTGTGTTGGCTCCTCCACAAGATTGCAATTCATGACACAAAGACTGTACTTGTTCATATTTCTTTCAGTGCTTAGAACAGTCCTGATTTATAACCTTTAGTAAATATTGACTTAATGAATAAGGGAATATTCAAACTAAGATACCCATACTTAGCACACACCTTTAATCTCAGCACAGAAGCAGAGACAGGCAGAGTTCAAAACCAGCTTGGTCTACATAGTGAGTTCCAGCTAGAGCTATATACTGAGACCCTGTATCAAAAAACAAACCAATACAAACAAACAAAACTTAGACCAGGCTGGTCTCGAACCCACAGAGAACTGCCTGCCTCTGCCTCCCTAGTGCTGGGATTAAAGGCATGCGCCACCACCGCCCGGCTTACAAAACATAATTTTTAACGTGACTTATAATGTGGTGGTCAGCAGTAGAATATTATCATGCTTCCATCTTACAAAACTCTATTTGAAAGTATTTTCCTTTTCCTCCAGAGTTTATATTCAGAGCACCAATCAAATTAAGCAAGCCTGGAGAACTTCGTGAGGAGTATGAATGTCTAAGAAAGGTACAGTGTACATATTAGCATGGTATTTATTTTCTTGAAATTAACTGAAATATTGACATTAAAGAATGCTTACTTTTGATTCATTGGGCCTTTAAAATTTTACTCTTCGTAGTCTGTCTTTCTATATACTATGTTATAACAGCCCATATAGATTTAAAGCCACACTAGAAGTGAACTTAACTCAGATCTTTTGAGTTGTCTTTTCACAGGTGAAAGTGTAACTTAGAGGGGCTATCACATCCTTCCAAGAAACGTGTTCTCGACACTTAGCACAGCTCTTGCTAATAACTGTTTGTGTTAGTTTTCCTTGTGAGCACTTCTAATTACTTGCAACTACTTTTATTTTTATAGTTTTTACTTTACTAAGTACTCCAGGAGAATTGTAATGGAGGCTGTAGGACATGTGCCAGTCACCACATGGCCCTTCCTGCCATGAGTGACTGTATCCTTCCATAGTGTCACACAAAATGCTTTTCCTCCTTGAGCCACTTCTTCCAAGCATTTATCACTGTGAGAAAAACAATCGCCACATTTTGCCTTTATTCTATGACAATGCCTGATTCTGATTAAGTAGATTATTTACCTTTATAAAGTAATGCCCACATGCAGAATTATTACCTAATTATTCACAAGCCTAAGTGAGCAGTTGAAACAATCTCTTAATTACAAAATACTATTCGGGAAGCTTTTAACTGTTATAGTAATTTTTTTTTCAATATTGGAGTTTGAATTTAGGGCATGGTGGATGTACTGTGACACTGAACTCCAGCTTCAGCCTGTAACTGTTGTTTTTGTTTGTTTGTTTTAATTTCCAACTAATTGTCTGAGATTGGCCTACAGAAATTGGATGTCAACCCTCCCTAGTTCTCTCCCTGCACGACAATTGCTCACTCGTGGTGGGAAGGGCATGGCTGGCTAGACATTTCTTCCATATAGCCATGTGCACGTACACACACACACACACACACACACACACACACACACTCACAGAGTCTTCAGTGTGTTTATTGAGCACCAGGTATGATCACTGGAGATACAGTGTAAAAGAAGACACACAAGGTTCTTGTCTTCAGGGAGATTCCTTTTTGGGGATAAGACAAGAAATAAGCAACCATGATTTCACATAGTAAAGCAGTCAGAAGTGTCAGAAAGCAGTGGGAGGGAGCATTAGAGCAGTTTTGGAAAGAGGGTTAGGGAAGTTACTTCAGAGGCAAGACTGCGTCCTGAAAGAAGCAAATCAGGTAAAGCGTGAGAAGGCGCCCTGCAGAGGCCTAGGGACCAGCAGTTGGGTGTGGTCAGTGCACAAGGGCTTTGGTGTGTCTGAACATACAAACGTGAGCAGGACGGAAGCAGGTGAGGGTTATAGGAAATGAGTTGAGAGATGTTGAAGGGCCAGGGCAAAGATGTAGTTAACCTGGTAAAGAGCCTAATGCAATCTTACATGCAAGTTTAAAGTGTCTCTAGTTACTATGTTAGAAATAGAATAGGCCAACAAATCAAGAATTGTATTTATTGTAGATAGTAGAAACTCTAAAATAACAACTCACAGTATGTAAGAATGGTTTTCTTCTTTTGTTCTTGCCATAAAAACAAAGAAAATGACTATGTGAGTTGATCTAAGTGTGTTGACTGTCTTACTATCTATGTGTATCCTATGATATCATGCGGGACACCTTAAATATACCAATAAAACATTATTTTAAAGATAATAAGACTTTTTATTATCCTTGGGTCACACAAACATGGAAGGCAGGTAGTTCAGGGCAGAGCACAGCAGTATTATGACTCAGGGCTGTGAATTACTTTGTTTTTGTGTTTGCCTATCTCCAGGAGTGCTGTTTTCCTTGTGTGAACGGGTGACCCTTCTAGAGCCACATCTATTGAGTGAATTGGGTCCTTTGAAAGATCTTTCCCTGACTCATCAGGATTGTAAATTCTAATGTCACAGATCTGTTGTAGGGAGCCTGGGAAGTATAGCATTTTAGCAAGTATGTGAATTTCCTGAGTAAAATCAAGATTTCTTTTGTAAGAAAAGAAAGCATAGATCCTGGCTGGAAACTTGCAGTATCTGCCTCATACAATAGAAATAGACCAAATAGAATACTTTTTCTTAATCTTAAGTTAAACCACGGTTAAAGTTTGTCTAAAAGTTTGGTAGAAAGGGTATAGTAGATTAGAAGATGTATACAAAGAAGTTATTGGAGTTGCATGCTGTTGCTTTGTTTTTGAAGTACAAGTCTTACTGTGAGGCCCAGGTTGGTCTTGTACTCAGGCCTTCAGCTCCCAAGAAGGTGAAATTATAGTATGTGGCACTGTGCCCACTAGTTGTTAAGGCTTTGGTCGTGGATCTAGGTTTATTAAAGAAGGGACTTGAAGGCATAATGGGTAGGGATAAAAAATGAGCTGTCAGGTTTATTATCAAGAAAGAACTGCAGAAGATAAGGTTGCTAGCATAGGAGTAAAGTTGAGAAGCTAGGGTATAGTGGTCTAATTGTGATTTTACTAAAACTTGGACATTTTACTCAATCTATTTGGCGGTATATATGTTGTGTCATAACCTAATTTTAAACTAGCTTTTCCCTTATTTGTTTTCTGTTTCTTTGCTTATTTTAGAAAACACTTGCAACAACCTAGGGACTTTAAAACATGTTCTCTCATATTACAGAAGCAGCAGCTGGTTGGCCTATTTTAAAGTTTTTTCTATAGTGTTTTTAAGTATAAATGTTTATTCAGTTGTTGGTTATCTAATCCTAAAGCCTCTCCTGTATGAACAGTGATTTATGTAACAATGTCCTTGGTTTGTGATAGGACAGGATGCATTTTAAGATTTCTAGTGTTCTTTGTCTATTCTATCTGCTATTTTTTCCTCTAGAACATTACATACTGTTTGAGAAAAATGCCCGTTTCTGACATGTGCTGGTGTTCTTCTTTCTAGAGACAGAGAAATAGTGCAGAGCCTTATGATCTGAGAACAGGCAAATGCCTGGTACAAGGGAAAGAAAGCCCCTAAGAGTGTACTTTAATCCTCACCACACAAAGGAAGACTGTCTCTATAGGATGGGTGCTTAAACTTGCAACTACACAGATGGGAACAGCTTTTTCGAGTAATGTACTTTTTGGAAAAAAATAACATAACACAAGACATGCAGAGTGTGATCAGATTTAGAGTAACAAGTATTCAAGTTATTTATGAAATGTGATATTTTTGCCTTTCTACTTTCATATTTATGAGACAGGATCAATACTTATAAGATTACTATATTAAAATAATTGTTATGGCTTAGAGAATAATTTAAATAAAATCATCTCAATATTACTTGCAAACCAAACAGAGGAATCATCTATCTGTAACTATTTAGCCTCTAGTATAAATAAAATACTTTGTTAAACTATCTACTTAATTAGACTTTGTAGTACTTTGAATGAAAATGGCCCCATTGGCTCATAGGGACTGGCACTATGGGGAGGTGTAGTGGTGTTCGAGGAAGTGTGTTGCTAGAGGTAGGCTTTGAGGTCTCAGAAGCTCAATTCAGGCCTAGTGTATCTTGGTCTCTTCCTGTTGTCTGTGGACCCAGATGTAGAACTCTCAGCTTCTTCCATGTCTGTCTGCATGCTGTCATTCTTCCCACCATGACGATAATAGATTACACCTCTGAACTGTAAACCAGCTCCAATTAAATAACTGCCTTTATGAAAGTTTTTATGAGCTGGGCGGTGGTGGTGCACGCCTTTAATCCCAGCTCTCAGGAGGCATAGGCAGGCGGATCTCTGTGAGTTCGAGGCCAGCCTGGTCTACAAGAGCTAGTTCCAGGACAGGAACCAAAAGCTACGGAGAAACCCTGTCTCGAAAATTCAAAAAAAAAAAAAAAAAAAGTTGCTGTGGTTATAGTGTGTCTCTTCACAGCAATAAAACCCTAAGACAGAAGTTGGTACCAGGGACTGGGGTATTGCTGTGATAGGCCTATGATGCTTTTGTTTGGAGGAATTTGGACTTTGAACTTTGGGTTAGAAAAGCAGTTAAATAAATGTTTTAAGTAAGGCTTAAAGGGCCATCCTAGTCGTTCAAGATAATTTGAACTGTGGGGGCCCAGCTCGAGTTTCACAGAAGACTATTAATATGTGGCCTGGAGACCCTGGCTGCTTTCTGCCCTTGTCCAAAAAGCAAAAATAGAAAACAAACAAACAAACAAAAAAACAAACAGTCTGAGGCTAAATTATAGAGTTTCGATTAACTGCTTTGGTGGAGGACATTTCAAAACAGCCTGGCAATAGCTGTGTTGCTTGGTTACTAGTGGCCAGTCTTAAGCAGATCTATAATGAAAAGGAGCAAGCTGAGCAAGGGAAAATTCAAAACATGAAGTTTGAAAAGAAAAGGAGCACCAGGAAGAAGTTTAAAGAAAAGCCTGATGCCAGAAAGAATAAATGGAGTGATGACTCTGATCAGGGCCAGACCCCACCCAGCTAAGCTTCCAGTTTGTGAAAAGGAATTAAAGAACAGTTTAGGTCAAGGCATGGCAGCACATGCCTTTAACCCCAGTACGCAGGAGACAGGCAAGCAGACCTCTGAGTTAAAGGCCGACCTGGTCTACAGATTCAGTTTCTGGAAGCCAAGCTTAGGCAGTGAAGGAACCATTGAAAACAGAAAGCTGGTGAAGATGTAATTGAATGAGGAGGCCGTGTTCCAGCCCCAGAAAGCAGCAAAACTTGGCAGCTGAGGCCACATTGTTCTGGCTTTAAAGTCAAAGATAGAAGAAAGGCTTTATAGGATCTTCCTCCACAGCTAAGGAAAGCCACCAAACCCAGACATTTGTCAGGGGTGTCCCTGCATGGAGGCCGAGAGAGGCCATTGTATGAAGCTGTAAAGGTGAATCTTGGATTGCCTGAAGACTTCAAAATGTTGGAGATGCCAGAGCATGAGATATGTGCCAAAGAGAACTGCTAACAGGAAGTAGAACTAGCCCGGAAGAGAGAATCGCGTTGCAGTTAACAGAACCGAAAGG